ACATATACAGGGGGAGGCATCAACCTTGATAATGATAAATTCTGTAAAGGAGATTAACACAACCTCAGAACTTCAGGAGGTGGTTCATGATGTTTTGGTAGTGGAACATCTGATGATTATGTTTCAGATAGTAGAAGTTGTTACATTTAGTGGACATGAAGTTTGTGTTTCTGTCATCAAAGAATCAAAAAATAGATAATATATCTTTCAAAGCCCAAAGAGATATCTCAGTCCACTTTTCAGGATAGAAATTCGAAAGAACAGTTATTCTTGATTGCCTATTGTTTTAGAGAAAACTTCAATGCGATAAAGTTTATCAAGAAATGCATCAATTTCGAAAACACAATTAAACAATGAAAAATTAAGATTAAACTCATTCTTACTAGTTAAAGTGTGTTTGGTAGATGTTGTTTTGTATTTGTATTTAAAACTTCTACTCTATTATTAGAATTTGTTTGAGTTTCTTTCGCAGATAAGATTATTCTTATGATTAGAATTGTATTGTAATTGAGTGTGAAGTGTAAAATATGAATGAATTCTTAGATTCTTGTAAATCTTGAAAATAAAAAAATGCCAACATAAATTTTTATAAAAAATACCAAAAAAGTGACATAAAATGTTTTGATTGTCAACTTCAAGGGATTATATATCCTTGATAAAGATAATGTCTTCGCAATTTTAATTATACAATTGTTGTAAACAGAAATTCATCAAAAGTGACACCTCAGAAAAGCTAAAATATTGAATTTTTGGAACTTTTGATAGAGCACGTTTTAAATATATAATTTAAGTAAATGTATATTTTGTAAAGATTCTTTTTAATAAAAAAAAAAATTTTGAAGAAGAACACAAAAATCTTCTGAAAAATAATATCACATAAACTCATATTATTTTCTAATATATAACTATTTTATATAAAAATCAAATTCAATGATCTTAAAAGCGAAGGATAAACCTCAAAATTTACGAATATAATGAGTGGGAATATAATGCTTATCTATCATAAAACCATATGAAATATTCCCACTCATTATATTCGTAAATTTTGAGGTTTATCCTTCGCTTTTAAGATCATTGAATTTGATTTTTATATAAAATAGTTATATATTAGAAAATAATATGAGTTTATGTGATATTCTTTTTCAGAAGATTTCATTCTATATGCCTATGAAAAGTACTCTCAAAACTAACTTTTTCCTAATTATAATTAAATCTAGAATATTGTATTATGCTTAGTATTATTTCATTTTTCTCATTCAATTTAGAATTTACAAATGTCAAAAAATTGAGAGTTGTCACTTTTGATGAATTTCTGTTTATTACACAATCTTTACACTTAAATAATATTATGTCCATATTAAATAAAAACAATCCTTTCAAAAAAAAAAAAAAAAAAAAAAAAAAAAAGGCAGTGGGGCTTCCAGGCACTTCGTGCCTTCTAGCCCTGAGGATGTTTTGTCAAGACTTCTTCATCGTAAATGTTTTGTCAAGACTTCTTCTTCGTAAATGTTTTGTCAAGACTTCTTCATCGTAAATGTTTTGTCAAGACTTCTTCGTAAATGTTTTGTCAAGACTTCTTCGTAAAATCAGACAAAAATAATGTTTATGTTAGAATGTTAGATCTAACACGTTTTCTAACATGTTTTCTAACATCGTAGAAAACTCATGATTTCATCGTAAATGTTTTGTCAAGACTTCTTCTTCGTAAATGTTTTGTCAAGACTTCTTCATCGTAAATGTTTTGTCAAGACTTCTTCGTAAATGTTTTGTCAAGACTTCTTCGTAAAATCAGACAAAAATAATGTTTATGTTAGAATGTTAGATCTAACACGTTTTCTAACATGTTTTCTAACATCGTAGAAAACTCATGATTTCATCGTAAATGTTTTGTCAAGACTTCTTCTTCGTAAATGTTTTGTCAAGACTTCTTCATCGTAAATGTTTTGTCAAGACTTCTTCGTAAATGTTTTGTCAAGACTTCTTCGTAAAATCAGACAAAAATAATGTTTATGTTAGAATGTTAGATCTAACACGTTTTCTAACATGTTTTCTAACCTCATGAATTTTCATGAACTTTCTTTACAAAGTCTTTACGATGAAGAACTTTACAAAGTCTCAACAAAACATTGACAAGAAAGTTCATGAGAAAGACTTTACAAAGTCTTTACGATGAAGAACTTTACGAAGAAATCTCAACAAAGTCTTTACGAAGAAGTCTTGACAAAACATTTACGATGAAATCATGAAAATTCAAGAGGGTAGAAAACATGTTAGAAAAGAGGTTAGATCTAACATTCTAACATAAACATTATTTTTATTGAATTCCGTATGAAATTTCATGAGTTTTGTATGTTTTAGACCATGTTAGAAAACATGTTAGATCTAACATTCTAACATAAACATTATTTTTATTGAATTCCGTATGAAATTTCATGAGTTTTGTATGTTTTAGACCATGTTAGAAAACATGTTAGAAAAGAGGTTAGATCTAACATTCTAACATAAACATTATTTTTGGGTCATTTACACTCATTACGATGAAGAAGTCTTAACAAAACATTTACGAAGAAATCTCAACAAAGTCTTTACGAAGAAGTCACAATAAAACATCTGTCAAAAACCGCTTTTTAACTTCACTTAAAATGCCACGTAAGCTACGTAAGAATATACGTAAGAGGAAGAGAGCATTGAAACATCCAATAGTAAAACTGACACCACAACAACAGTTGCAACAACAAATTATGAATGACCCCACTATGTTGCAACAAATGTCAAGCAACCCTATGCTTTTAAACCGAGTTATTGGTGCACAGAGTGGAGGTTTAAGAGCGGCACTTTTAGCGAAAATGGCAGGCTATGGTGGAGCTGCAGACGGAACAGCATATAACCCTCAAAGTCAAATGAATTTGAGTTCACTCAAAAATCAAATAACAGATGTCAAAAAGTCAAACATAGACATACAGAAGCAAATAAGTGAAAACGAAAAGAAACTAGAATATGACAGACACACAAAGAAACTCAATGAGTTAAACGTAGAGAAAAAGAAGAAAGAAGAACAACTGAAAGAACTAAGTACAGAGGAATATGCAAAAAAAGTGTCAGAAAAAGCAGCAGAAGTAGCAAAAATGGAACAAGATGTCATAAATTTGAAAAACCATACTACTCAATATAAAATACTGAAAGATGAAGAGATAAAACAAAAAGCCCTGAAGACATATATGGATAGCGATGAGTATAAAAAAGAAGTTGAAGCAAATGTAAAGGCAGAAAAACTTTTACAGTTGCAAAACCAAACCGTACAGTATGAAAACTTAGCACAAGAAAGTAAAAATAACGACGCGGCTATGCAAAAGGCAATGAAAAGCGCAGAATATATAAAAGCTAACAATGACTGGTTAGATGCCCAAGCCAACGCTAAAGCAGCCCAACTCATAGGGTCAATAAGGACAAAAATACAAGCGGATGAAGACAGTTCAAATGAAGCTTTAACGAATGCTGACTTTAAGAACGCCTTCGAAGCTCTTCATAGTAAGGTGAAACAAGTGAACGACTTCTCATCTGGAAAGAAACTGAAGTCTGAAGGTTTCGACAAAGAGTTAAGAGAAGTAGCACAAAATATGACGAAAATAACAGATGCAGCAACGAGACAGGCAGTTCAAAGTGCCTATGACGCCGTTAGAGCAACTGTTGTGAAAAGTCAAGAAAAAGAGTTACAACAGACCAAAACAGACCTAGTAAATGCTTTCTTAAAACGAAAAGTCAGGTAGGACATTACGCTGCAGATGGAACATATGTGCCAGCTGGTGGAACTTATATACCACCAAACCCCCCAAGAGAAGCACCTGCACCAGGACTACCTAACACATTTACATCGTCACATGGACACAGACACAGGCATGCACAACAACCAGCACAACAACCACCTCCACAACCAGCACAACAACCAACAGTTCAAAACCCTGCACAACAACAACCACAAACAGAGCAAGGACATAAAAGAAGTAGAGAACAAGGAAACCAAGAATTCTTAAAAATGCTTAAAGAAGAGTGTGGTTTCCCAGATACTGTTGACTTTAGTGACAGATATAAAGAAGCTATTGGAAAGTTCAAGGATGGAAATACTGACCCGAACCTATTTAGCTTTATGGCTCAGCACCAAAACGGATATAATCTCAAACCTGGAAAATACAAGCTCGCTAAGGGATATGATTTAATAGCATATCATCCAAATGACATGGATGAATTTACTCCGAGATATTTGATGTCAGAGCTAAATGACAATTCAACTTTCGTCATGAAACGCGTAAAAAATAGAGACGGAACGAAAGAACAAAAGCTTATGAATGCGGATGACGTAGATAGGGAAATTGTTAAAAACGGTCTCGGAATATATGAAATGCCAGCAGATGAGGTACAAGAAACTCCACAGGAAGAAATAGTTCAGATACAACCAGACATGGAAGAAATAGTTCAGCAACAACAGCTAGAAGAGCCTGAAGGAAACGAACAAGTCACTCCTTTGGAAACTAACTTCACAGAACTAGATGAAGATTTGGAACAGCCGAAAAATCTTGACCCTCAACAAGAGTATGCGGAGAATATGGAATATTTCCAAGAGTCTAAAAAAAAATTCGGCTGACATAGTAGAAGAATATCGAAAAATGTTTGCCGACATACAAAAGACTCCAGCACCAGATGAAAATATTCAGCATAGAATGGAAGAACTGAAAAAAAATGTACACAAATACAACAACCCTTTTTACTTACGAGCATTTAACGTTCAATCTTCGGATGAACTCGGTGAAGATAAAAGGTTAAATTTCAAGAAAACATATAGAAATGAAACATTGTTTAAAGTTCATTCAGAACCTAGCCAAGATGGAAACAAACCTACTTTTGTTTCTGCAGACGATGGAACTACAATGAGATGGGGTCATAAAGCTAATCCAGATAGGTGGTTCATAAACTTACAACCACAATTCCAAGAAGTTGTAGACGCAATGGAAGTCAATGGTGAACCAGATATAGCTGGTATTTTAAGCGCGGCTTTAATGCCATTGAAAGATATGAAAGATGCAGATATTTTGAACCAGTATGAAATGAACATGGCTGATGGAAATATAACACCTGACGTTCTAGAACATTTATCTCAAAGAACTACACAGAACCATAGAGATGGTATATTTGGTGAAGAGTTTAGAAAGAAAGTTAGGGAGGGAGAAGGAAGAGAACCTATTGTACATGACCTTGCAAACGAAAGTTTACAAAATGTCATAAAAACTTACTTTGCAGGCGATGAATCGAGAAGGGATGAATATTTAAGAAAACTCAAATGGACAGTACCAAATGAAATGTTAGTATTGAAAAACATGTTCCTTGACAAAATAAAACCAACTACAGAAATAAACGACGCAAGACTGAAAGATTGGGTAAAAGCTTTCCCATTCACAAAAGATATTATTGGTAACATGGAAAGAAAACCAGAATGGCTACAAAAACATATATTTGGAAACGAGCTTATTCCATATGGACAAGCTCTGTTTGAAGAGCTTGAACCAGAAACTCAGGAAAGAGTCATGCAAACAATACGCAAAGACTCAAATACAGACTATGACAAACTCTTTCTAGGATATAGGTTACCTGAGATGGGCGACCAGAGCCCAAAGGCAAAAAGGACATGGGAAATTTACAACATACTAGGTGAACATGAGGCAAAGATGCAACAACTTGAAGCAGAGGGCAATGAAGGAAAAAGAAGAGTTAAAAACTCAGTCAGGAAGAAAGTAAAGCTTGGTCCACGTGGGTTCTATTATGACATATAAATCCAACTATTCTATATTTTTACTCATATGAAATGTACGCCGCTCAGAATATAACGCCAACAGTTTTGGATGCCATGAACGGAAATGTTTCCGAATGGTATAACGAATGCGACAATGCCATTAGAAGGTCAGAAATAGTTCCTGGAACTTACGAATATACAACTGCTGTTTCTTATGGAAACGTAGGTGAGTTTGGAGAAGGTTCTTCAACAACAGTAGATATTGCTTGCGACAGGTTTCATATAATTTCTATTGACAACTCATTCTTATACGTGGAACAAGACATTGAAATAAAACCTTCTGCCAAGTTGTCTGACAAGAAAGGTTGCAATGGAATTTTCTATGTCGGATACCAATATGCTCCAGAAGTTTTCATGGGATATAAGATATATTCTAACTCTGACTTAGTTCAAACAGTAACATGGGCAAACTATGAATGGTTCGCTTTGAGAAACTCAGTACAACCACAAGCTAGAGAACAAACAGACCAGTATGCAACTATTGAGAAAATAAGAAGACTTGACCCTAACGTTCCAGGAGTTTATGTTAACCTTTCTGGTTCAGATGGAAATGCTGTCACTAAAGTAAAACTGAAACTTAGAGTTCCTTTGTCATCTTTCCTCATCTTCAGGTTTTTAAGATACTTGCCAAACTGGGCAGGAAAAATTTCTATCGAACTTACTCAAGCAAAAATAACTTAGTCATTGCACCAACACAAGACCCATTCAGCATTGCTGTAGCTGGAACTGGTGGAGCCAAGTTCTGTGACTTTTGCAAAGACAAAGTTGACTTAGACTTTGGTTTCTCAAACTTCAACACTGAAGTAAACTACTATTTCAATGCTGCTGGAACTGCTTGGGACCCAGTTAAGTTCACATGCGAAAAATTTGAATGCAAGAGAATAGAAAGCAGACTTGCAGTCTATATGTTGGACCCAGATATTTCAAATGCTTTAGCTGCCAAATATATTGCAGTTCCACTTATGTTCCCTATACACCAAATATCTGTCAAAGACTTTGCAGGTGAAGTTGGAAACCAAAGTGCTGACCCAGGTGCAAGAACAGATATTGCCTTAACAACTGCAATGAAACATGCAGATACTATGTTTGTACTGTTCAGACGAACTATAAATGACTATTCTTGTTTCTACAACCCTGGTATTAAATATCATATAAACATAGATGGCAAATATTATCCAAGAGAAGAATATTCTACAGTTGAGGATATGAGGTCATACAACTTGACATTAGATGCTATGAACTTTAACAACAACTTCACAACAACCATTAACCCTGAAATGCAAAGTTCTATTATGCCATATGTGAAAGTATGGACTCATACAGGAGGTCAAAAAACTCAATATACAAATGGAGACCGTTCAAACTTTTGGCTTGGCATTCCATTTGCTGACTCAGAAGACTTTATGGGTGGTATTTCAACTGTTGGTACAGTTCAAATACAATATACTGGTGACAGAGACGGTCCAGATGAACTGAGAGCAAAGAAGTTTACAAAACCAATAGCACTTTTCACGGAAGATGCTCTTTTGAGATTCGTTCGATGAAACCTGCTGGGGCTCCTCAGATTGGCATAACGACAGCTTCCATCGAGCAGATTTGGCAGCAGGTCAGTAAGTTGTTCTTGAACTGACTTCTCTCCGTCAAATATTGACAGTACGCCAGTTTTGACATAAAATTGTATTATAAACTTACCTTTAGAAATATCGGTCAGTTTTGTTGTTATATTTTTGTCTGCTTCAAGAACTTTCACCATCTCGGTTATACCAACTTTCTTTGCTTTATGAAAATATTTGGTTCAGCAAAGACTGCTATTCTATAACATTTTCCATTGTTTGTGTAAAGAACTATTCTATCAATGAACTTGTATTGTTTGTGTGTGTAAACTTTGTTTTGCTTCAATTCGAAGAGATACTCAAATACGTCCATCTTTTTATTCTAAGTAAAATGTCATTTCCGAAAAATAGAAGCGTAAGTGTTTCAAAAGGTTTAATGGCGGTGGCAGATGTGAAGTTAAATTCACCAACTCAAACAAACAGTCAAAGTGTTGTTGTCAATGTCAAAGAAAGAGATGTTGAAGTGGGGAAACCATACGAAGACCAAGATGGTATAACAATAGTTCCTGTAAAAGAACAACCAACATACCCTGAAGTTAGCAGAGACTTAAGTTCTGTTGCAGATATTCGAAATGACTACCAACAACTTAAACAAACTTAAAACTCAGGAGAAGATTTTGTCAAGCTTTGGGTATAATGTTAAACTTGGTTGAGCACAACCCTGTAAAAGTGAACTCATATGTCATCGCACCTCATGAAATTTTGAAAGAACTATTGAAACTTTTGACAGAGGCAGACGATATAAACATCAAAGAAATAGAACCCGACATTAGTTGCTGTGGTGTTTTCATATAATGTCATTGACAAGATATACGTTATGAAAGGAGGTGAAACGTTGAACTTAAAATATAGTTTCCCAGACGTCATAAAAATATTTGACGACCACAACATTTCATTAAAAATTTATTTGCTAAGTAAATGGCAGAAGACATAGTGGTTTATACTATTACGACTAAAAACCCTGAGTCATATTCTATAACAACAAACTTACAAAGTCCTCAAGGACGATATTGTAAACTAACCTTAAACACAATGACGACTAAAGCCTGTTTTGCTCTTTTGACACCAGAAGACTTTGTTGTTGTGAATGGTAAAAAATACTTCTTTGAAGATACTTACTCAGATATTACCACCAACAGGTTTTGTTGACTTATTTAATACTTTAAGGACGGATGTAACATGTGCTGCAACTAGAGCAGGGTTTCATTATGTTTGGATGTCCGACTGAGTTTAGTATAAACGATATGAGCTATAATACAAAACTTATATCTGGTTTTTACTACCAACAGTTTCCTATAACAGGAAAAGGTGTCATACAAGGTTTGTCTGTTCCATTGACTTTAAGTACACCTATTTTATATATTGTTTCAAACTTAGGTTCAAAGTGCTATTCGAATGTCGACAGAAACTACTATGACCAAAAGATACTCATGCGTATAAACAACACTTTCTCTGCTGGTTTGCCTATTGTTCATTCGAATGCAGAGTTTCAGCTTTAGTAAACTCAAACACTTTAGCAAACATAAACTTAACCTTAGTTGACGCAAACTTTGTTCCTGTAAACTTTTATGTCCTATGTATTTGTCAATGACGGCAGAAAGTTTCGAATTGGAAGATGCAACTGGTGAAAGTATTGTACTACAAGAACAACTTCAACAACAAATAGCTCAAGAAACAATGCAAACAAATGGAACAAATGCAACAACAAAGTCAAGAATAAAAAAATATTTTTTTATTTTTATAAAAAATGTACAGAATAGACGTTTCAGATTTTTATGACTTCCAAGCGTTCAGAAATATGTGTCCATTTAGAGACTATAACAAAGCAGTCGAGAATTGAAACGTTTAGTCATTTATGTCGACTCTGCCCCAGAATGTTATGTCATGAAAGAATGGGATGTTGTCTTTAACAAACCAAGAGCAACCATAGTTTCAGAACAAGAATGTAGACAGAAACTTAAGAAAATAAAAGTCGTACAAGTTGGTATGAAGATGTTAGATGCTTGGGATATCTTATTGTCAAAACTTGAAGATTTTTCAGTTCGTGGTATAAAGTTCTATACACCTTCTCCAAACTTCTATTCTATCTTCACTGGATATAATATGAACAAGTTAGAATGGAAAGAAAAATATTATAGAAGCTTGGTTAGACCATGTCAAAGAAATTATATGCAATGGAAACGAAAGAGTCTATGAGTATATTTATGTTGGTTTGCAAACATCTTACAACATTCCAAGTGCTAAAATGAAACTGCTCTCATTATAATTGGAAAACAAGGAACTGGTAAGAATACTTTCTTTACAGATATTTTGTGCAAACTGTTAGAGGGCTATTCGAATCCGAATATGACAAACTTAGAAAACATCTGCGGTAAATTTAACTCCTCAATAGAGAATATGAAACTTATAGTTGCAATGAACTTCAAAGTATAGATACAACAAAAGTTTTGACTCAGATTGCTTTGAAGAGTCTTATAACAGACAAAAGTTGGAGTTGTTGAAAGAAAATATAAAGACCAAAGCGTTTGTGAAAATGTTGCAAATTTCATTATGGTTTCAAACAATGTTGTTCCGATGAAGTTAGAAAGTTCTGACAGAAGATATGTAGTTGTCAGAACGTCAGATTCTCATATGCAAGATACAGAATATTTTGACGACTTAGCAGAAACTTTGACACCAGAGTTTTACAACCATTTGTTCTCATACTTTATGACATTAGATATTTCTAAGTTCAATCCAAGACAAATTCCACATACCGAAGAGAGACAAACATTGTTAGAAGCAAACAAGAGTGTATATGAACTGTTCGTAGATGAAACTGACTTTGAGTGTTTAGATGAAAGGTCATTGTACGATTCATATAAACAGTATTGTCAAGAATATGGTTATATGGCAGCTTCTAAACGAACATTCTTGGCAAATGTCAAAAATCTTTTAGATGTTCAGAATGGTGTATATAAAGAAAAATTTTCTGAGTAAATTTTAAAAAAAATATTTTTTTATTTTATTTGAAATGTACGCTGAGTTTGTTGGAGAAGACCGTTGGGAAACTTGTTTGTTAGATGGAAAATATGAAATTCACTGTTGTGGTCATTTGAAGTCAGAAAACAAAAGACAAAAAGAGTTTTAAGCGAATGGGAGCGAAATGACGGATATACTACTATGAAGATGAGTGGAAAACACTATTTTAAACATATTGTCATTGCAACTCATTTTATACCGAACCCTAACAATCTACCTCTTGTAGACCATATAAACCATATAAGAAACGACAATAGACTTGAGAACTTGCGTTGGGTCACATGTTCTGAAAACAATAAGAACATAGGCAAATTTCGAGATATTGTATTCGAATTTGTCGACGAACTAGAAGATGAAGCAATTGAAATTACAGACTATGGTAAGCATACGTTTGAGTTTTACTACAGCGAAGACAAGACTCTTTCTACTTTTATACCGGCGTAAACTATAGGAATTACAAGTATATTTACTAAGACGGGCTATGCTCATGTAAACGCTAGAGATACAGATGGAAAAAACGTTCGAATACTTCTTAACAAATTCAAGAAGCTATATGGCATACCATTTTAAAACGTTTTTTTTAAAAAAATATTTTTTTTATCCGATAGAAAAGATGACAAAATTCATCTCAGTAAATAAGTACATGACAGAAGTCAAAGATAAGTTAGCTCCATTCGCATATTTGAATGTTTACTTCTACCATTTTGAAAAGTCTACATTTGACAAAGTTTGGAACATTGCACCAGTTAAGTTTGCTGTTGTTAGAAAAAGTGGTGCAACTTTTGAAGACTTAGACATAGAAGGTTTGTTAGCAGTCAAAGAAAATTTTGACAGAAAGTTCTCAAAACTCGAAGAAGGCAAAGCATACAAACTTGTTATACCTTATGAACCAAAGAAAGCAGACGACTATGAATATTATGAGTCTAAGATAGTTGAAGTTCAAGGTAAATTGGTAAAAAGATTTTAGAGTCTAAGCCAGTTTGCTCCTAAGAGGAAGAGAACATTGACATTGACCCAGAAATGTTCTAAAAATAAAATTTTATTTTTACATGTCAAATTTCTTTTTCTCTGGTTCAGGTTCTTTCTTCTCTTCTTCTACTTTCTTTTCTTTCTTCTCTCTCTTCTTCTTCTTCTCTGGTGGAGTTATGTCAAACTTCTCAGAACCATATTTTTGTAAAAGGTCTTTGTCCTTTAATAGCTCTTCTATTCTGTTTTCTATTTCATCTTCAAGAACAGCGCATGTGTCTTCTTTGCATTCTAAGAACTTTTGTTGGACTTCAGCTTTCCAATCGGCGTCATCTCTGTCAACAAGTCTGTCATTGACAAATTTTAAGACTTCTCTGCTTAATGTTTTATGGTTCTTGTCATATTCCCAGAAACAGAACTTTAGAACAAATTCACCTTTCTTGTTTACACTATGTAAGATTTATGGTCTACAGATGTTTTGCTGTCGAAAAGCTTGTCTCGAATATAGATAGCGAAATCGCTAGACATTTCCTAAAAGATAAAATTTTTAATTTTTCTAAAAATATGTTAGAAAAAAAGTTTGCTGACATTGACAAGAAATTTGAGAATGTTTTAAACAAGAACAAGAGGAAGTTGGAAAATGCTCAGATAAAACCCATACATGACAAGTTCTTATTTGCTCAGAATGGTATAACAGGTCTAATTGCACCGCCTGGGTCGGGTAAGACTTTCACTTATCTTAAAATGGCTGCACAACAACAAGAACTAGATGAGAAGAACCCATTCTATGAGTTAGTTGTTATTTGTAGTACTTCTGGTCAATTTGACCAAACCGTCAATTCGTTCAAAGATATTATAAAGAAGTCTAAGTTAGTATGTATAAAAGACTCTGAGTTGTTAGATTGGATAAAGAAGTACCAAAGAAGAGTTTTGAAGTACAATGCTATAAATGAGTATATAAATTCTAAGTTTAAAGACCCTAATGAGGAAATGCAGAGAATATTAGAGAAGAAACACTTCAGAAACAAACAGAAAGAGATAGAATACATTTCGAAGAAATTGCAATCTTACGATTGGAAGACTTACCCTCATAGATGTCTTCTTATCTTAGATGATTTCGCCTCTCATCCTTTGTTAAAGAATAGAGAACAAGACATGTGTCGAATTCTTAAGAAGCTCAGACACTTTAACATCTCAGTCGTAATATGTGTACAGACAGCAAAGAGTTTAAGTAAGGATGTAAAGAGAATACTTACTGACATTGTACTTTTCCCCGGATTGTCCGAAGACGATTTCATGGAACTTATGAAAGAGTCCATGGCAGGTAAGTTTGACAGACATGAACTATGGGAGAAGTACAAAGTCATACAAGACCCTCATACTTCTTTCAGAATTCATATCTACGCAAACAAAGTTCAAATTGTAAAAAGTCAAGCGTAAAAAATCTAAGTGTTTAGTCTTAGTAAGTCTGTTGTGGTTCTGCAGCTTTCGGTTCTTCTGGCTTTGGAATGGACTCGGTTGGTGGTACGTGGGACATTCGTTTGTGTCCTGTCGGAAGGAAGGACTCGGAATGTCGGAAGGAAGGACTCGGAATGTCGGAAGGAAGGACTCGGAATGTCGGAAGGAAGGACTCGGAATGTCGGAAGGAAAAACTCGGAATGTCGGAAGGAAAAACTTTTTCTGTCGGAAGGAAAAACTTTTTCTGAAGTTCGACCAAAAAGTTCTCAATTTTCGAAAATTTGAATGGTTTACGGACGAACAACAGGAAATTTTTTTCCAGTTGTCAGGAAATTTTTTTCCAGTTGTCGGGAAATTTTTTTCTTGTTGGAAGGAAGGACTCGGAATGTTGGAAGGAAGGACTTGGAATGTCGGATGGAAGGACTTGGAATGTCGGATGGAAGGACTCGGAATGTCGGATGGAAGGACTCGGAATGCCAGAAGGATTTGACAAGACAATTTACCTTATAGAGCTACCTGAGCCATCTGAAGTCAAGACCAAAAATAAATGGTTCATTTACTCTTCCTCTTTGAAGTTATCGAAATATTCTGTTATTTTTTCTTTCAGTAGCGGCAAATCTTCTTTGAAGGTAAGTATTGTACAACCTTTAATATCATAGTGTGTTTGAGGTAACGTATCTTGAACTATTTGTTTCACATCTTCATTCGGTGTCATTGAAATCGGTAAGTTTTCGCGATAGAACCAATTTCTGTCAGATTTGTAAATCTTAGCAAGGTCGTAAAAGCTTTTGTTGTTTCTTCTGACTAAATGCAACATAACCATATCTCTGTCTTCTTCATTTTCCATCTCTTCAGTATAAATCATATACTTATAGTTCTTTTCCTTTCCTTTTGGTACCGAACGTGGTATTCTTTTCTGTATGCTTTTATCTTCTTTCATCATATCTTCTCTCTGCTTTGTACAAAGTTCGTCAAGAAGTTTACAAACATACCATGCATAGCGAGGTGAAGCCCACATTGCTATTGAACTAACTAGGAACTTATGAACATATATACCTTTTAGATGTGATGGTAAGTTTTGTCTGTCTTGGTACATCTTTTTAAGTTCTACATGTTCAAACTCACTGAGGAGTTCATGAGTGCTATCTAATTCAAACCAGTCTTGTGGTTTCTTAGTATCTGGTGCAAAACATGCTGTCAAAATACTTTGCATTTGGTACATATCGTCTTTGACCGAACGAATGAGACGGAGTTGTTTGTTAAACTGTATGTACTCATATTCTTCATTTATAGCTTCATGGACTATAACTGTTGTTGTGTTCTCTGTTGTTGACATATCTGTCTTTACATACAAAATAAAAAAATATTTTATAAAAAACTAACTTTATTTTTTTTAAGTTTGGTCATCCTTCACTATATGACAAATATACTATATTTTACTTAAAAATATGCAAGCGGCTCATAGCTCAGTGGTATGGGCTACCTCGCTACAGGCGTCGAAGACCTCGGTTCAAATCCCGATTCGCGCAGGTTTTTTCCTTTTATGCAGTGAAATTTCATGTACATAGGTTACTTTGGTGTTAGACCCTAGTGAAGAAAATAGAACGATATAAGTTTACATTTGTAAGGCTACTTTGGTGTTAGACCCTAGTGAAGAAAATAGAACTATATAAGTTTACATTTGTAAGGTTGGACGATAAAATTTACTGACTGACGTCGGACATTGTCTTGAAAAAGTAAAAGACTTGTCTTGAAAAAGTAAAAGACTTGTCTTGAAAAAGTAAAAAGACTTGTCTTGAAAAAGTAAAAGACTTGTCTTGAAAAAGTAAAAGACTTGTCTTGAAAAAGTAAAAGACTTGTCTTGAAAAGTACGGGTATCGTCTGAAATCAAGACCACTGTTCTCAAATTTGAGAACTTTACACCAAAAAATTTCTTGAAAAAATACGGGTCTTGTCTTGAAAAAGTAAAAGACTTGTCTTGAAAAAGTAAAAGACTTGTCTTGAAAAGTAAAAAGACTTGTCTTGAAAAAGTAAAAGACTTGTCTTGAAAAAGTAAAAGACTTGTCTTGAAAAAGTAAAGACTTGTCTTGAAAAAGTAAAAGACTTGTCTTGAAAAAGTAAAAGACTTGTCTTGAAAAAGTAAAAGACTTGTCTTGAAAAAGTAAAAGACTTGTCTTGAAAAAGTAAAAGACTTGTCTTGAAAAAGTAAAAGACTTGTCTTGAAAAAGTAAAAGACTTGTCTTGAAAAAGTAAAAGACTTGTCTTGAAAAAGTAAAAGACTTGTCTTTGAAAAAGTAAAAGACTCGTCTTGAAACAATGACCGACATAGACCCAGCAGATGAGGCAATCTACCTTATAGAGATAAATGAGCTAGTTAGGAACTACCTGAGCCATCTGAAGTCAAGCGTAAAAATAAACGCTTTACATGTATTTTTCAGCAACTTCGTCAAATAATTTTATAGCTTTATCTATCTCATCTACTTCAAACGTTTCTTTACCTTTCGTGGGAGCACCATACATTTCTCAAACTTTTCGAGTAGTTCTGTTTCAGCAGCTCTCATATCGTTAACGAACACAACCTTGACTCTATTGACTGTACTGTCATATTTTTAGTTATATTATATGTTCTTCCTATCTTATATCTTTTGTATTGAAGTCCTTCGGTTTCTGAACGATGTAAAGTAAGCCTTCACTGCAACGTTCCGTATCGAATGAACCATAAGTTATGAAGTTATATCCAACAACTGGGTCTAACCATAACAAAACTATTGGTATAAGACTTTTGTCTATAAGATATGCTGTAGTTCCATAGAATCTTACCGATATCATAAGCTCAGGATTTCTTGTCAAAATTTTCTGACTAGAAGCAGTTTCTAACCCAGTCGTGGGATGTTTTCCAAATGGAGATATAATGTCTGACAAAGAATATTTGTTGTATTTCTTTGAGTATCTTACGTTTAAATCACCAATTCTAACCAATTTAGTGTTATTGTCTATCTTTTTAACTGTTTCAAACTCAGTGTTTGTCATTTCTGTTCTTACATACAAAATAAAAAAAATATTTTATAAAAAACTAACTTTATTTTTTCTGTCTTAAGGAAATTCATGAAATTTCATACGGAATTCAATAAAAATAATGTTTATGTTAGAATGTTAGATCTAACATGTTTTCTAACATGTTTTCTAACATGGTCTAAAACACACAAAACTCATGAAATTTCATACGGAATTCAATAAAAATAATGTTTATGTTAGAATGTTAGATCTAACATGTTTTCTAACATGTTTTCTAACATGGTCTAAAACATACAAAACTCATGAAATTTCATACGGAATTCAGCAAAAAATAATGTTTATGTTAGAAATGTTAGATCAATCTAACCTGTTTTCTAACCTCTTTTCTACCCCAGTTATTTTATAAGCGTTTTACATGGTAAACATTGTGAATTCGTGAAATTCTAAACAGTTTTGTAGCTTCTATTTCTTCTTTTAGTATGTCAAAAGTTTTAACGATACCGAAGGTTTCTTTATATTTCTTCTTGACATCTGAAAGAAGGAAATCTTCTGCGGTTGGATAGTTTTTGTTCAGAAATGCTAACATGTCCATTTTATTTTCTGCTGGTTTCTCTGCTTCTTTCTTTAAATCTGCATAGTCGTTTCTCATTCTTTCTATCTCTTTGACGGAGTAGTTATATTTCCTCATTGCTGCTTTACATTTAGAACATTGTGGGTTCATTTTTGCGTTATATTCTGAAACCTTACCTGCTAAAACAACCAAGGCGTCAATGGTTTTCTTTAAATCTGAAGCAGTTGGTTTTATCTGTTCATTCCATATCTTACCTCTTCTATCTTTATCTCTTATTTCCCAAACACATTTTGCAACTAACGAAACAAAGTTGTCGTAGGTCTTAAATTCTTCAGATTTATATATGTCAGAGATGTTCTTATATACCATGTCGCAATCTTTGTCCATGACTTTGTGGTTGCAATGAAATCCAAGAAACTCATAGTTAACCTTTCGTATGAACTTCTTTATTTCTACTGAGTCAGTCAGTCCGACTTCTATTTCATCGAATTCTGGAATAGTAAGCTTTTGTTGTTGGATTTCAGGAAGTTTAGGTAAATGGTCAATAATATCCTGCATTTCATAAAGATACTGTTCATTTGTTTCATCTTTCGCACTACAGTCTAAATTACTTGTTAAAAGTTCTTGCTTTATCTTCTGGATTTTTGTTTCGAAAGTATATGAAGAAGGAATGAAGTTTTTCATCTCTACTAATTGACGTAGGATTCATGACTAACGAGTTTGGTGCTGTTGTTGCTAACATGTTCTTACAATAAAAATAAAAAAATATTTTTTTTAAAACTAACTTTTATTTTTTATGTTTTTTGTGAAAGTGTCAAAATTCATGAATTTCGAGAGTTTTCTACGATGTTAGAAAACGTGTTAGAAAACATGTTAGATCTAACATTCTAACATAAACATTATTTTTGGGTCTTTTACGCTCATTACGAAGAAGTCTTGACAAACATTTACGAAGAAGTCTTGACAAAACATTTACGAAGAAGTCTTGACAAAACATTTACGAAGAAGTCTTGACAAAACATTTACGAAGAAGTCTTGACAAAACATTTACGAAGAAGTCTTGACAAAACATTTACGAAGAAGTTTCGACAAAACATTTACGAAGAAGTCTTGACAAAACATTTACGAAGAAGTTTCGACAAATTCAAGAGTTTTAGACCATGTTAGAAAACATGTTAGAAAACATGTTAGATCTAACATTCTAACATAAACATTATTTTTGCTGAATTCTGTATAAAACTCATGAGTTTTAGACCATGTTAGAAAACGTGTTAGAAAACATGTTAGATCTAACATTCTAACATAAACATTATTTTTGTCGAAATAAATGGTTCATTTACTCACAATATTTTTGTACAAAACGACCCCAAACTTTTAACTTCTTTTCTGCAGCTTCTAATGCTATCTTAGCGAGTTCATATTCTCTAAATTCTCTCTTTAAATCTTCTTGTTCCCATTGGTCTAGTTCGTATGGAGAATCTCTATAACCATAACATATCTCACGTTCATGTTCTATTTGTTTTCCGCACATTTTTCTAACTTCTTGTTCGAACAAAGGTTTAGCATTCTCTACTGTATCTTCAAGTTCTTCTTCATCTAATTTCTCATGAACTTTCTTGTCTATGGAGTCCATAATTTTTCCAACTGCTATACAATATTTTGGAGAAGCCCACATTGCAATATAGTTTACGAGTCTTGGGTCTACATACATTCCTCTAACCTGTTTGATTTCATCCGGAATTCCTGCATGAACTTTGTATAAAAAGCAACCGCCGTTTTCCGCGGGTTGGTATATTCTTCACAAAATGCCTTAAAATACTCTTCCCAGGACTTATTTTCCAACAACCTTCTAAAGTCTTTCCTAAACTGCTGACACATCTTTGTTGCATTTATATAACCATCCTTGTCTCTACATAAGACTTCAATACCGTTGTAAGTGCCTTTTGTGAATGTTTCGCCATTAGATTTGTTCGTGAACGTTTTTGCTTCGACTGACATTTCTGTTCTTACAATAAAAATAAAAAAAATAAATAAAATAAAACTAACTTTATTTTTTTATTTCGGAAAATTCATGAAAATTCAAGAGTTTTAGACCATGTTAGAAAACGTGTTAGAAAACGTGTTAGATCTAACATGCTAACATAAACATTATTTTTACTGAATTTAGCAACAAAATGAACGAGGTCAGGATGTATGTTGCTGAATTCATTCATAACACCCTTTGTAAGCTCATAAAATGCTTGTTTTGAGGTCGAGCCACTTTTGGCTCCACCGTATTCTTTCAACCTGAAGCATTTAATATATGTAAAAATATACTGTTTTAAAATGGTATGCCATTTCATATTTCTCATCTAATTTCTCATGAACTTTCTTCATCTAATTTCTCATGAACTTCATCGTCAATGTTTTGTAAAGACTTCTTCATCTATGTCTTCCCAACGGTCTTTTCCGACAGACTCAGCGTACATTTTTATAAAAATAAAAAAATATATTTTTTCTTTACTTTACAT